GCCGTGGTATCTCGGGTCCCTGGGGTTAAGGAAATCCCAGGTAATGGAAGTGAGAAAGCAAGAGCCAACTGGGGGAACGATGAAACAGGGCTGGGACCACTGTGGAACTCAGGCGGGCATGCAGACGAGGCAGGACGCGTTCTAGACTCAAAAAGGGGGTGAAAGGCCACCCTGTGTTTATTCCTCCCTTTTCGGTTCAAGGATAGTTGTGCAAACGTCTAGGTCTTGTTTAGACCAATATTTAGGAATCTTCATTTACACTAGGTTTTTACCCCCACATCAAAAAGAAAAAGCAAATTATAGCCCACATCTCTTAAAACTACTCTTTTCTTTCAAAGGCATCCTTTCAAGATGGTTTTTCTGGGAAGGGAGGGAGAGGGAGAAAATAAAGAAATGAAATGGGTTTTATAACTGCCTGGGTGTTTGTTTTGTTGTTTTTTTAAAGAGGCAAGCAGTCGATTTGCACGTGTTTGAAGGGATGTCTTGCTATGTATAGTGGAGGCTTCCCTTTTTTTACTTTTGAGGTCCGAATGCACTTTATTCTGCCCTGCCATTAACTGTGTGGCCCTGGCAAGACAGTTGGCTTCTAGTGAGCCTCGGCTCCCTCGCCTGTGAAATGGGGCGGAGAACAGCTATCTCCACCGCGCCTCTGTGAAGGTTACATCAGGGAGCTAAACTCAGCGCGGAAACACGGCCAGCACGCAGAACACGCGCTCCCCTTCCCAGTTGTATTCCAGGGAGCAACATGCAGAGAATTCCGGCAGCCTGGCCACCCTGAAGTTTCTCCAGGAGTTGGAAGTGCTCCTCAAAACGGCTATGCAAGTCCTGACAAATAAACACAGCGTTGGGCAAAAGCAGGTTTACAGTTGTGAGTATGCAAAAGTTTATTCCTGTTATTATTATTGTATTCTTTGTCTTCTGATTATTTCATATTCTTACTCATAATTGATCCTTTGGGTAATGTCTTTTTCCATACAAACAACTGTAAACCTATCTTTGCCTACCCCTGTATACCCTAGAAAGAGAAACAAGTGGGTTTCGGAGAAAGGGCCCGCTTTTGAGAGGTACAGGAAGGACCTCCCGATATTCCACACTGTGCTGCTTTCAGCAAGAGTGAATGCTATTAGGCGGCTACAGTAAGAAAGGCGCCACTAGAAATGTTGTCTTCAAAACAATTTTAATGAAAATCATACTCGACATCTCCATAGTTTTTTGCATTTTGTGCCTAATAATTAAATTTCTTCCAGCTGCCCAAATGCGCGGTGCTCCTTCCCATCTCACAGCTTTGCACATCTTCAAAGCACTCCCCCTTCTCACCTGGCTGCCACCACCGACCTGCCTTTCGGGTTACCCTGCCTCCACCACGGAAGCTAGGGGAAGGCCACACTGGGGGCTCGTTATACCGTGCTCCATAACATTTTGAGTATGTGAAAGTTTCCACAATAAAGTCTCTTTAGAAGTCACTTTTTAATATAAGAAAGGAAAGAAAAACACAGTGGGTCATCCCAAGTATACCAGATCCCCCCGTCCAGGAACCTGAACTGCAGCTCCCCCATAAACAAACAGCAGCCCTGGTCTACCATCTGAATGGGTCCTTGATCATCCCTGGTCTGTTTCGTAGGTCATACAATTTCATGTCCTGAACACATACTGTGACAGTTTACTGTAATAGGAAAAAACCATGTACACTGTCCCCAAACTCATTTCACTGGATCGGAAACTGCAAAAAGAGGCTGCATCATCTCAGGAGCTCCCACTAGTGTTAGCAACATTACGTCATTTTTCAAGCGTTCTGTGGGGCCAACAGGTTGGGGAAATTCTGCAACGGAGTTGACATTTTAATGCAGGAAAATAAAAATTGGGGGAAAAGAGGACAGAATTTAGGAAGGAATGATATGTGTTCTATCCTAAAATGAGCTTAGAGAATCAGGGCGTGTAGAAGTTACTAAAAGGGGCTGTTTAAGAGTCCCACGAACCTGCATGAAAGACAAGCAAATGAGCCTCGCCATTCCCTCCCCCACCTGCCCCCACGGGTTCCACAGCACATCTTCCTTTCCGATGAGCTGCTCCTCCTCCAGGCTTCCACGCCCCGCACACCTGCACACCCGCACACCCCTACGCCTCTGAAGCAGGCTCTCAGCCTCTTTTTTGGTCTAAGCTAAAGAAGAACAAAAACAAAAACAAAAACACCTGGTCAAAGAACAAGCCAGGGAGGACAGGAAGCGGCAGTGACGTGCACAGAAAGCCTGGGTCTTCCTGACCCTGAGCGCTCATGGTAAAAGAACAGCAACAGTACTGACCATTACTGTATTTTGCGGTGTATAATGTGCTCCCATGTATAATGCACACGCACATGTTTGGCCCAAGCTTTCAGGGGGAAAAAAAATCTTTCCCTTTAATTTTTTTAATTCAATTATTTATATTCAGAAACAAAACCGATTACTGTATTCCAGGGTATTATTTTGCATACGGGTATCATTCTTGCTTTCTAGAGTTATACTTTTAATGCATAAGCATTTATATAGATATGGAATTAGTACTACCTTGCTTTTTCCCTCAAAAATTTGGGCAAAAAAGTGCGCATTATACACAGCAAAACACAGTACACCTAACATTCCTCCATTCCTAACATTTTCATCCTTACTGTGAGGCCCCCGCACTGTCCCATGTACTTTACTCATATTTTCGTTTAAGTCTGACAGCATCTCTGAGGTTGAGGAATTTCATGACAGAGGAAACTGGCTGAAAACAAAAAGCACTTTGCCAAGAGGTTGGGGGGTGGAGGGGAAATCTTCACAAGGGCCCACAGCTGAGGTAGAGCTTCGACTCAAATAAAACCAGGTGGGCACCAGAACCCGTTAGTATGAGATCAATTTTTGGTAGGCTCAATTGACAGGTGAAATACCAGGACAAGACCAATAACCTTTGAAAGTACAAGAACATCCAGGAGACACGTCAGTTGACAGTCCATCCGGTGCTGCGCAAGGATGGCCAAGAGCAGGAACGCCCCGTCAGCACCTCTGCTCATGAGGGAGCCAAGTTCTGCCTGCTCCCCAGGGCCAGTCCTGGGGAGCTGACTCCTTACCCAGAATGCCAACTTAGTATGTTGCAATGAGAACTGTAACTTGAAAGAAAAACAAAACACTCGGCATCTGCAGTTTAATTCACCCTCTTCCCAGGGTGGCAAAATCTACATGGGAAGCCACCAGAATGTTGCTTGGTAAGCACAGCACTAAGGTAGTTAGATGCGTCAAGTCATAAAAACCTAAAACAATGGTAATCTAAAGACCAGTCATCCTGGGTTTTCTGGAACAGGGCTGATTTCCAGTACTCTGCTTCAAGTCAGAACCTCTGTTGTGAGTTACTACTAAAAATATATGATCATCCCTGCTGAGATGCGGTATCCACCCTGACTTCATTTTCAAAGCTCTATGTAGATTACACTTTTCCAATACTATACATGGTCTGTCCCGAAGGTAGCCAGCCATGTACTATACAAAAGAGACATTTATTGAAGAAAATACAAGATACAAGAAACATTGTACACAGGACAGTGACACTTTCGTCCCCTTCAAAGTAGGCAACTTGGGACCTCACACAGCTCTCCCTATCGCCATCAGCTGTCCTATTTTCCTGAATCTCATCAACAGTCTGAAATCTCTTCCCTTTCAAAGGTGATTTTAGCTTTTGGAAAAGCCAGTAGCCACAGGGCACCAAATCTGGGCTGTAAGAGGGGCTGAGTCACCTGGGTAACTTGATGTTTCACCAAAAACTCTGCATGAGACATGATGCACGAGCAGGTGCATTGCTGTGACGAAGCTGCCAATCATCAGTGGCCCACAGCTGCAGCCTCTGAATCATCTTGGTAATTCCCGTGGAGGAATGTTCAAGCTTAATGCAAAATTGGATGCAGATCTGTCGCTCTACTAGCTCAGTCATTCTGAATGTGACAGCCACACACATGTTCACTCAACAGCACCTACCACCCACAGTGACTAGTACAGTGAAGTCACCATCGTTCACACACCCGCATTCCAGTCCACTCTCCTGGGCTGCCAGGTTAACATCAATGTCGCACAAACCATTCTCATATTAACCATGGCTGGACTTTTTCTGGGCAGACCTCATACTTACCCCAAAACTTAATATAAGTTGTACAGTTTCCATTTATTTTAATCACGTTCTGGTTGTGAGATTCAAGAAGTGCACAGGTCTGTCAGGCTGGGACTGTGGTCTCCTCTCGTCATACGCCATGTTAACGAACCCGGCCTAGGCGATCATCCTCATCAGCTTTAGGATGCTTCTCTGATTTGCAATTTTGGACACTGACAATTTTAATGTTTGTCCCAAACTGTTCATATGAAACCAGAATAACTAGAGACTTGACTCCCCTCATTTGGGGAAAACGAGGGCATGATTCCTATTTAGCGGCTCGTTTCCAGGAGAGGATGAGCTGTATCTGGGAAAAAGGGAAGGGGAAGCGGTGTACCTTAACTCAGCAGCTCCACTCTCATCTAGCTTATATACTGAAATTTGGTGCAAGTTTTCACTTGAAAAAGGGTTTTGCTGCTTTTTAAAAGTTTGCAAACCACTGATATAAGTGGTCTTCCAAGGTCTCGTCCAAGTGTTAAATTATATTTTTGTTTCCAAAATTATTTTATTCAACAATATTTGGGAAGTGCCTGACTATGTGACGAGATTCTGCTAGGCCTGGTGGTTACAACAGTAAACAATACAAACAATATGCTAATAGAGACTCTGCCCTCAGGGCACCTACTGTTTGTTTGGTTTTTTGTAGGAAATTGAAGAGTGTTATAAATATCACAGGCAGAGTCACCAAACAATCCTATTTTATATTTTCTCGATGTTAAAATAAAACCACAAGATTTTCTGAAACTCAGCTGGCGCAGTTTCTTCCATGGACACTGCTTCAAGTTTACCTTTTCCTCTGCCCGAGACTCAGAAGACAGGCTGAATAATGCAGACAAAACCAGCTGTGATTTGAAAAATCACACGAGATTTTATTAAAATATACATAAATAACCCTTGTTTTTCTGAATGTTGTCAGTTTGGGGAAGTGAAAAATAAATGAAAAGTAGGAGCACAGGCACAGAGAACTGAAGACCGAAGGGAGTCAGGAAAACCGTAGCCCAGCCCGGGGCCGCCACTGGCAGCCTGAGAAAGCCACTTGGCGGCGTGTCCTCAGCCACACACTGAGGTGCGTGCAACACACGTTTTTGGGGGTCAACCGCAGGTCTAAAATTCTACTGTCCTAATTCCATTATTAGGAGCAAATGCTATGTATTAACTATATATATATAGCATGTACTCACAATAAAACGTAAATAAATGCCGAATTCATAGGAATACTTTTAAGGAAGACGAGAAACAGAAGTGTGCTGCTTAAAAAAATGCATTGATGTTACTGTTTTATTCACACTAATTAGAATATATACACAAAAATGTGTATCATATGTTACTTTGAAAAAATTCTATGTTCCATGAGAACTATGTAAACAGTGTAAAATGTTTCTACTGCATAACAAAAAAAGAAAAATCAGTATTCCCATGTAGTATTAGGAAAATAGTTAATGCAATTTAAAGTTATAGTAAAACAAAATGAAATATTACAGAATAGTCTTTTCATGAAGTAGATTCATGGTCTAGAAGCAATACATTTCATTCTTTCAACCACTTTGGTATAAGTGAAATTAATTAATACAAAGCAAAAAGAAAAAAAGAAGAAAACCATAAAACCTCTAGTTTGGCTCTCACATTAACTGGAATTTCAGCAATGAGGTGACACCCTACAAAACCCAGCCGGAGCACTGCCCCAAGCCCACCCCTAGTGGCACCGGCGGCCAGGAGGGCTTCCGAGGGCTTCCGTGCACCTTCCCCCACAGCTGTGCGTGAAAGGTTGCATAGAAACCTCCGCTTCAACTTGGAGTATAAGTGATCTTGGTTACTGCCTCTTAACAAATACAAACGACCCTGCATTACAGCAGCTCTGGACAATTCACATTTAAAGTAGAACATAAAATTTTTAAAAATCTTATTTCTATAGTTTCTCAAGAAATCCATATTTGAATAAAAGAACATACTACGTTAAAAAAATGCAAGTTTAACAGCCCACAGACAATAGGTTTTTAAGAAACAGAAACAGCCGTCTGCATGCCACAAAATTATCTTCACTGACATCACACATTACTTTGACAACTGTACAGCTAACTAATCTGAGGAATTTTTAACTGCGCCACTTTGATAATTACATTTTCTCATCTATACTGTCAAAGGCGGTACCGTTTCCACTGTGTCTTCATTCTGTATGTTTTCTTCTACATGAACCCCTACATCTGAGGAGTACATCTAAGCAACTGTCAGCGCATGACTTTTCTGTCATCCATCACAGGAGCAAACTGGGAATGTCCTCTGAGGATTTTCTCAGCAATGTCATTTATACTGTGACTTTTTGGAAAGACCTAAAAAGTCTTTTAAAGAAAAAAAGAATCCTTGGTGAACCTCACAAACTTACAGTAATAATATAATAATGCACTGCTGTTCCTTTCTGAACCAAAAGAACATGCTGTCAAGGGCTCCACTTGACTGAGCACACACTGTAAAGTGCCTCTGAACAAGGAACACTGCGAGCGCAAGTCCTCAGACAGGCCCTGGGAAGGGAAGGGACAGAGTGCGGCCAGGAGCATGCCGGGGGTTAATTCAGCATGATAATCTTTATAACATAATGAGTACAGAAAGTAAAAGGAAGCTTCTGACAGGTTAATCTGGGGCTTTTTGAAGAACAAGTCTAGAAAGGAATAAATGAGATGAATATAAAAGAATTCAGCAAAACTGATCTCTGCTTGAATGAACGATGTATGGAAGAATTGTTAATATTTTAAATTAATTACTTCATAGTATTAGGACAGTATTAGGAACTTAAATTCTTGCCTAAATTTTACAACCAAGTATAAGAAATAAAATAGTAAAGAGTGAACTAATTAAGTGTGAAAGGTTCTTACTTTTTCACATTAGGTAATATTAAAATCCAGGGACTACTATACATTTTAGAGTTGTGTTCATTTCGTGGAGAGACTGTTGGGGAACTTAAATCATTTCAAAATTCACTTGGAATAATCGCCAAGACTATCGTCTACTGATAGCCTGCACTGCCAGACAGTAAAAACTGTGAAGTTACAACAAAACACCATATTTCAATGAATCTAATGCACCATTATTTTTTATACCATGCGAAGAAAAGATGCCCAGGATAGGAAATCTAAAAGGAGACAGAGGCCTTCACAAAAAGTGAGAACGTCAAATGGCCACGACCTCGATGAAGGATTAAAAAAATACCCCTTCCCACAGAAGGGATGACAAAGAAGTCTGTACACCTCCTCCTTAGCCATGGGAAGAGGGGGAAAAATTCCTTGGTATTTCAACTGATACATCCACAAGGTCCTGCCTGCAAATTCTGTGGTCTCAATTCACAACACCAGCACAGTTCAAGAAAATCTCAGAGAAGTCAGTTTAAGCAGATGCAGGTTGGTAGTGCCCCCCAGCGACTGGCCGTAGAAACTGCAAGCCACGTTGGGAAGAACTCCACTTTCATCGAGGCAACGGCTGATTTTAAGATGCATTCCAAGTTTAAAGATTCTAAAATGTGAAAAATATATAATATGAAGTCAGTGAAATAATATGGTATACAGATAACTAAGTCTATAAAAGAGATGCACAAAGACTAGAAAACAAATATTGGACACATGCTAAAAACTGTCAAACAATAGCATATCATAAAAACATCAAACCAATGACAATGAAGGTGCATTATTCAAAGCATGGCACAGGCAAAAAATATTGAGAAAAAACTTAAATTCCTCTCTAAACCACATTCTTCTAACTATAAAGCCAAATGAAAACACCATTTAAGAACTTAAAAAAATAAATGATTAAGTAATAATCTTAAAGTACCAGCTACATATTTTAAAACCATGTTCTCTGCCCCCAAAAATCCAAAGCATAAGCAAAAATAAATGGCACATTTCAAACTGGAAAAAAATGTATTTGCAATGGCAAAAGGTTACTATCTTTAAATATCACAATTATAAATTAGTAAGAAATAAAAATACCCTACCCCACAGCAAAAGCAAAGGTAAGAATAGGCAATTGACAAAACAATAAACACAAACAGCCAAATAAATACACCAAAAAAAAAGCTCAATTCATTAGTAATGAAAATGTAAAATAAAACAATGATACAGCAATTTCTATCAAGTTGGCAAAGTTTTAAAAAACAATTATACTCGGTGTTGGCAAGGGTGCAGAAAAACTAGCACATATATTGCTGGTTTAATAAAAATTGAGACAAGCTTTCTGAAATGTCACTTAGCAATAAGTATAAATCAAAATACCTTTTAAAATGTGCAATATGCTTAGATCTACAATGCTGCTAAGGAATTTATCCCAAGCAAACAGTCAGAAATGTAGGTACAATACATGTCAGAATTATTTATAATAGTGAAAACTGGAAAAATCACCTAAACACCCCACCATGTATTTTAGTAAGTAAACCAATAAAATGGAACACAATGCAACTACTAAATACTATGTATCACTGAAGCAGTTTGTACCAGTAAAAGGATAACCTAAATACCTATCAGCAAGGAATAGGTTATATAAATTACAGTATAACAGCAAATGGAATACTATACTATCATTAAAAAGAATGAGGCAGCTCTTATATTATGATATAGTCTTCTCTCTTCCTGAAATATCTTCCCACAGACATCCACCTGGCACTTGCTCAAATGATACTTTATCAGTTAGAGTGTCCTTTGCCACATTATATACAAAGGCACTGCCTCTGATGCTTACTTACCCTATTGCTGTTTATAGCCATCTGACACAATCCATCTGTTTATTCACCGCCTGTCCTCCCCCAAAGAAAAAAAGATCCCTTTTTTCTGGAGGGGAGAGACTGTGTGTAGTCCACCAGGTGAATCCCAGGGCCTAAAGCGGCAGCTGGTACTCAGTGCAGCTTCACCAAATACTGAATGACTGCACGGTGTGCGGGCGCACAGGGAAGAGGCAGATGGGTGCCTGGATAAATGGGTGTGCGGATATGGAAATATCTCAAAGATACAAAGGTAGTAACGGTTTGTCTATTTTGCTATCATTTGCCTTTTAAAAAGGAAAGAAAATCACGTGCGTTAACATATCCTTAGGACACTGATTGCCTCTGGGAAAGAAAACTGGGGAAGAGACAGGGAGAGCCTTCACTTCTGTCACTCAAAAGCTGAACCAACTGTAAGTATAACTCATTGAGAAAAAAATAAAAATTACACATCCACTCACTAACACAACTGTAGGCTATGGGAAAATTACACAACATATTCTTAAGTGGGAACAACAGGCTACAAAATAACAAATAATATAAAATACATGAGACTTAGAAAAGCTTAGAAGGATTAACTTCTAACATTTTTAATTGGCAAGATTATAGGTGATTTCCGTTGCTTCTCATTCCTTTCTGTATTTCCTAAGGTTTCTGTATGAGGTACTATTATTTTATAATTTTTCAAATTGCTTTTAAGCACAAAGAGCATTTGCTTAGCAGAGTATGACAGCACCTGCACCGGACCCTCGGACATAGCGACGCACTGCCCTGCCCCAGGGGTCCCCGCTTCGGACAGAGGGCGCTCTCTCCTGGGACTCTCCGACCGCCTCCCGCCCCCCGGCCTCTCAGCTTCTTCACTCTCCATCACTTCCTTTGGCGCCCTTGTCTTTTTCTTCCTGTCTTACCAACAAAACCCTAATTTTAGTAACACCAAGTATCTGCTTACTCTCAGTGTCACCCAAGTAGTGGCACATGGCCAGAAAAAAGCCAAGCAATCATGTTCGCTGTACTCACTTCAAATTTTTGACCAAAATATCCAATAAGCATTCATTCAAGCCTGCAATACAACCCCACCACGCTTGGCTGGGAGAGTCCTTCCCGCATGCTGAGATGAGCCTCTCTCTGCTCCTCCCTCCTTGTGTCTCCCTCAGGCCCTGGACTGGTGGCCTTCCCTTCCCAAACACCCGAGAGGAGGCCGAAGTAACCAGAGGAGCCCCTCTTCCCACCACCCATTTCACCCCGCAGCCCTCTCCACGCCCTCAGCCGGCCTCCTCCTCCGGTGCCACGTAAAGATAGATGCACCCCTGCTCCCTTCCCAAGGCTCAACCCTGCGGCCTGCCCTGGGCCCATGCCCTGTTGCCTCTTCAAGTATTTTCTCTGAGAACTGTCCCCTTTTGCTCTGGTATTATCAGTCTCCCCCCTCAATAATGAATCACTGCCATTAGTAAACAAACAGACCCTAGTATCATACAACGTCCCCGTCTTATTTCTGTTACCCTTCCCAGCACAACTCTTCCCCCCACCCCCCAACCCAGTCCTTGACCTCTCCTCAGTCCACTTTCCCTCTGCTCAAGGTCACTGGTGATGTGCGTCCAAGCCCTCCTCAAGACAACAGCAAATTCTTGGCCCCCCCTCACTGGACCCCTCAGCAGCATCTGACATGGTCGCCCACGCTCTCCTGGGGGCAACCTTCCCTCCGCTGCCCTGAGATCGCAACCCCTGGGCTGTCTTCCACGTCACTGGCTCCTCCTTCTCAGCAGACCCCTTTCTCTTCGCCGCCGACACACTCCTTCTAGGTGGTCTCACCCAGTCTGTGCCTTCCAAGGGCAAGTATAAGCTGGGGATTCTAAAGGTGTTATTTTTAGCTCTGAGCTTTCTTCTGTGCTTCAGGCCAGCTACTGGCTGAACAAAGCAGAACTCCTGATTCCTCGTCCCCAGCAGCACCCCCCAAACCCTCCACAAGCCCTCCCTGGAAAAGGTACCACCTTCCAACCAGTTGCTCACATCAGAATCCCAAGAGTCACATTCCACAATGAATTCATCAGTAAGTCCTAAACAACTCTACCTCCAAGAGACCTGAATTCAATCCTTGTTGACCATCCCTGCCACTATACCCCTAGTCCGAGTTGGCCTTCCTCCGTCCTTGCTCTATAGTCTACCCTCCAACCAACACCCAGAGCAATCTTTCTGAAGTATAAACCAAATCATGTCCCTTCTTAAAAACCCCGAACGCTTCCATTACACTTAAGAGTAAAATGCAACTGCCTTACCAGTTCCCTCATAACCAGGCCCACTACTTCTGCCCCTCTTCCTCGATCCTCCCCTTCACTTACTGTCCTCTGGCCATACTGGCCGGCTTTCTGCCCCTCACACTGTCCGTCTGTTCTCATCTTGTGACCTTCATAGCTGTTCTTCTGCTTCGATTGCTCTTCCCCTTCTCTTCAGATCTCCAGCTTCCTTCCCATTATTCAAATTTCAACTCAAGTGTCATTAAGTCAGCAAGGCCTTAGCCAGAAGCAACCCCAGTCACTCTCCGCAGCTCATTTTACCTCTTACCCGTTGGCATCATTCGACAAATGAACCCTCCCTCTTAAGCAAGAAAACTAAACCTCTATTTGTTCTACTTAGGTTCTGTTATCTACAACCAAAAATTCCTAGCTGATGTTCCTAAGAATTTATTTTTAAAAGAAACTGAAATTAAAAGAACTCAAATTCTATGCAGAATTAAAAGATTATAACATATCAGAAGTATAAATTGTTCACTAATTCCTTTCCTTTACTATCTAAATTTTTAAATAAAAAAGCACTCAGAGGAAACAGAAAAAAGAAGAAATTATGGTCAACCCCATAAAAAGGACCTCAGAATGAAGCATTCAGAATTTATACACACAATAAAGATATACTCACACAGTGAAACTGAAGTCCAGTCAATGCTGGGGCTGTTCTGGACTAATGTTCATTGTTCGATAGATTTCTTTAAGTAATAACAGGGCAGTATCTTCAGATTCCCTATCAAAAAAGAAAAAAAAAGCACATTTACTTAAGAGACATTTAGTGGACATTAATCTCTATGTCTAAAGATGGAAAATGCAGGTTTTGTTCTATTCAACTCCACTTAAGAAGAGCAAGTGAAATTGAAATAGTGTAATCACAAAGTTGTCCTTAAAAATTGGATGGATACCACTCAGCTCCAAAACCACCACGTTGCAGCTCCCCTTGGTGAGCAGGGATATATGCAAGGATGGCTTTTCTAAGGCCCTCCCCTGTCACTTCCGATCTGCGAAAGGCATCCCTGCAAAAACAGTGTGCAAGTAACAAAGGGCTTTTGGTCAAAGGCAGATGACGTCCTGCCACCTTGTGAGTAACCAAACTAAATCAGGAAAATGCTGATTTTGAACATATGGGTGTTCAAATTAATACTCCATAACAAGTGATAAATCAGCAAGAGAGTCTCACTAAAACTAAAACTGCTTCCCGCACAAGCACCTAAAGGCCACATGAATGGTATCAGAGATGAAAATACTTACCAATAGCATAAATGACTCTGAAGAGCGAAAAGATATTCATTAAAACTCTCTATTGGCTTTTCCTGAAGAACGTAGTCAATGCGGCGGCCTCCATTTAGCATTCCAACCTTTCCTAAGTAGTCCTCATCCTTGGAAAAATCTGGACTTTCAACAATCTTTTCTGCTAGAATTCAAACCATTTCAATATCAAAGTCAATCACTTAATCATTTTCCCTTGATTTTAGCTGACTTACTGGGCTCAATGAGAATATTGCTTGACACACGTAGCAACCTGGGGAGCCAGCAGGCTCACTTCCCAGTCCTCCAAAGAGCCAGGGGAAGAGGGGCTGGTTACCCCAGAGAGAGGAGAAAGAGCCAAGGAGCTGGCAGAGGTTTTGAAGAAAAGGGGTGAGAGGGCATTGCAGAGAGAAAAGAAATAGAATTAGAATCTGAAAAAAATCGAAAACATCAAGGCACAATGACCTGACATTGCAGTAAAGTCCATAACAACACAGTTAAACAACAGCATCAGAAAAGATAATTCCTCAGCGTGGGTCTTTCAACTGCTTGACTATAAACTTAGTTCTCAACTCTGATATAACACTCTGGCCTTAGGAATCTCAATACCGTTTTAACATTGCAGAGTAAAAAAGTTCAACTACTAGACAGAAACCTAGTAAAAAAGGACACATTTTGAAGTATAGTTTATCGTAAGAAGGGTCTTCACATTTTAACAAAAAAGACTAGAGGAAAAGCACCATTAAATTATTTATGTATCACAAATAACATTTGGAACAACTGGAGAAGGCCTCAAATATCAAATTTACCTTCAACAACTTGCTTTTCTTCTTCTTCTTTGATTTGATGGGCTACCTTCTCCAATTCTTCTTGTAACTGAGTTGAAGAGGTATGAGCACGAGCAAACTCATTTAATGTCTGCCAAGCACTTTTCAGAGAGCTAATAAAACCCTGCTTCAAATCAGATCCCATGCGAGAGAGACTTTCTTTCAACTCTAAAGAGATCAAGACAACACATCAAGTTACTAGTCTGTGGGTAAAATTCTGCACCAAAATTAAAACACAAGTTAACATTATTCTCAAGCAGGTGGAACCATTTAGTCTTCTCTTAAATGTCATGTACATGGAGAATCTCAACCAAAAATCTTCACTATGTTAAAATGTTTTGAGGAATCTTATCCCTATCATTTCTGTAATGACTAAACTTGATCCAACCAAAACCTGTAAATTTGCTCCCTCCAAAAAAAGAAAAAAGACTTCAATACCATAAAGATGTAATTAAACACAAACGTGATTTTTTCTTACTCTAGGTTAAAAAGTAGACATGCAAAATTTAAAAAATGACTTTTTCTAATCTCTAACAGTGAAATGATTTTGAAAATGCGAAAAGTACAATTTAAATTGCTAATTTAAAAACGAATAAACTCCTACTCCTTTACCTTTTCTACTTTTGTCTAATAATTCCTATTTGAAATCAAGTTCTTTGAGTATCAAATTTCTCATTTTAACTCCAAAAGAGTTAAAATACTTTTTAAAAATATGATAAAAGCAAAACAAAAGTAAAAAAGACTTAAATAAGAGGGCATGATCACTTTTCCTTCTTTTAAATCTGTGGATAAATAATATACACCATAAATAGACATAAGAAAAACTTAAACCCCACTTAGGATTATTATTGATCCACATATTTAATGAGTTTTTTTTTTAAAGGAAAAGTGTCTAGTTAGCAAGGAAATAAAAGCCCACTTGACTTGAAGACCATCGAACTTATTTCTTGATGGTTTGGTCAGTTCAAATGTTACTCTGCTTTCCAATGCCCAAAATTTTAACCAAAATCTACAGGGTCTGTCCAGAAAAAATTCAACCATTGTTAATACAATGAGAATGGTTTGCACGACATCAACGTAACCTGGCAGCCAAGGAGTGGACTGGAATGCACATGTGTGAATAATGACTTCACTGTACTAGTCAGTGAGAGCGGGAGACACCGATGAGTGAGCAAGTGCGCTGTGTGGCCATCACATTCAAAATGACTGAGCGAGTAGAATAACGAACCTGCATCAAATTTTGCGTTAAGCTTGAACATTCCTCCACAGAAACTATTCAGATGATTCAGAAAGCTGTAGGTAGGGACAAATGGTGCCTGGCAGCTTCATCACGGTAACACACCTGCTCATGCAGCACTTCTCGTGCAGAGGTTTTTGGTGAAACATGAAGTCACCCAGGTGACTCAGCCCCCTCTTAGCCCAGATTTGGCGCCCTGCAACTTCTGGCTTTTCCCAAAACTAAAATCACTTTTTAAAGGGAAGAAATTTCAGACCATCAATGAGATTCAGGAAAATATGACAGGGCAGCTGATGGTGACTGGGAGAACTGTGTGATGTTTCAAGGTGCCTACTTTGAAGGGGATTCAGGTGTCATTGTCCTAAGTATCATGTTTCTTGTATCTTCTTCAATAAATGTCTCTATTTTTATATTACATGGATGGGTACTTTCTGGACGGACATCATATGCACCACATCACTTTATTACCATCTTCCCCCCAGTCCAAAATATCTCAGCAATTACAATGTTATCAAGAGTAAAGTCACCAAGGAGAATTAACTCATTCATAACTAGCTTTACAGCACTCCCAAATAGTTAGTAAACAAGTTCTAAACATAGTAGGCACTTAACATTAACTGTGTAAGAAAGGAATTGTTAACATTTTTTTGATTTATTACAAATGGCAGATTAAAAAACAAGGAGAAGGAAACAAGTTTTATAATATTTGCTTTTTACCTAAATGAAGCCTTTTTCTGCCTTTGTGATGTGGAATGAGAACGGCTTTTAGGTCCAAATCTGGAACAATCATAGGTTCTAGTCTGTATGCCACTGGATCAAGCTGTAAATAGAAGAATTAAAATTTATGAAAAACTAGTTTATATTAAGTCACATACCTCAGTTGGGTGAAAAAAACAAAAAACTGGCAAACCAGATATTTTGATTTTTTTATTCACACCTATTCAAATATTGGTAATTATAAGAAGACTTTCAAGTTTGTGGGTAAAATTACTTTGCAAACAAAGCAATAGAATTATTTCCTTGAACAAACTCTTTTTGGTGGAAACATTTATTGGAACATATCATACTGTATCTATTAGGACACAGAAGTAAGTTGTACAAAATCCAGATCAGTATTAATTCCTAAGAGATAAGAATCTGAGACTATATTAGGATAAATATCACAGGTTCTTCATCTTCTTCAAAACAGGAAGCTGCCTTGGCTGGTGTGGCTCAGTGGACTGAGCACTGGCCTGTGAACCAAAGGGTCCCTGGTTCAATTCCGAGCCAGGACACATGCCTAGGTTGTAGGCTAGACCCTAGTTGGGGGCACATAAGAACCAAGCACACATTGATGTTTCTCTCCCTCTCTTTCTCCTTCCCTTCCCCTCTCTCTATAAATAAAATGAACTTTAAAAATCTTAAAAAAAAAAACAAACCAGGAAGCTAATTCAATGCACTCACCGGATGGTAAATATTGAAGAATCCTTTACAGGTGGGAAGCCTGTAGTTCTCATCTATTCGATCCACTCCTCGAATAGTAAGAAACATACCAACTGGAGATCCCAATGCAAAGAAAATCTCTGGTTCAAAGTCTAATGGGCTATAAACAACAGAAACCTAGAAAAAACCAAAGAACAATAAAAGATGATCATTCCAATGATCGTAAGTTGAAAATATCTTAAGTGAAAAATGCATTTAATAGAGAACATCATAGCTTAGCGTAGCCTACCTTAAACATGCTCAGAACACTTACATTAGCCTACAGTTGAGCAAGATCATCTAACACAAAGTCTATTTTATAGTAAAGTGTTGAATATCTCATGTAATTCATGTGAAAACACAAAACACAATATCCAGAACGCACTGGCTGTCTGCCCTGTGATCGCGTGGCTGCCTGGGAGCTGTGCTCACTGCCACTGCCCCGCACCACAAGGGCGTGTCCTTCCACAGACCACTAGGCCAGGAAAAGACCAAAGTCCTAAACTCCAAGTATGGTTTCTATTGCACACATATCACTTCTGAACCATGACAAAGTTGAACCTCCACAAGTTGGGGGCTGTCTGTACTAGTGAGGGAGCCAGGGAGAAAAGCAATCTGACAAACTGCCAGTAGGAGTGCCAGCTGCCACAGCCTTTCAACTGGCAAGTGGCAACAACTACCAACATTTTCACGTGTACATCCTTTGGCCCAGCTAACCTTCTTCTACTTATTTAACTGAAAGAAAGAATAAAGAATGTGCACAGGAAAACTAGTTTAAAACTGTTCCTCACTGGATCACTTAGAAGACTAGAAAATTGAAATATCTTGTATGTCCAATGTTATCTGTCCTCCCCAAAAAGATACAGATCAGTACCTCTGACCTTATTTGGAAATAGTAGTAGTCAAGTTAAAATAAAGTCTTTAGGGTGGGCCCTGACCCAATGGAATTGGTATTATTATAAAAAGGAAAAACTTGGGCAGAGACAGAAACGCACAAAGGCAAGATAATGAGAAGACACAGGAAAACGCCACGTGAAAATGGAGGATTGCATCTGTAAGCCAAGGAACATGAGGCAAACCACCAGAAGCAAGAAAGGGGCAAGGAAGGACTCCTCTACATGACCCTGCTGACACCTCGATCTTGGACCTCCAGCCTCCAGAACTGTGAGTATAAATTTCTGTTGTTTTAAGCCACTTAATTTGTAGTACTTTGCTATGGCAGCCCTATGACATTAATATAGCCAATAAGTAAATGTCAAAATAAATCATTATCTTTCAAAACAGTGAAACACAGCAGTCATTAAAAATTAAGTTGTAGCCCCGACTGGTAGGGTTCAGTGAGTTGGGCACTGTCCTGCAAACCGAGGGTTTGCCAGTTTGATTCCCAGTCAGCGCATATGCCTGGGTTGCAGGCCAGGTCCCCAGCTGGGTGTGTGTGAGAGGCAACTGATCAATGTTTTTCTCCCTCTCTTTTTCCCTTCCTTCCCTTCTCTCTAAAAATAAATTAATAAAATACTTTTAAAAAAAGAAGTTGTAGAAAAATACAGAAACAAAATATATTCATAATACAGTTGCCCCTTGAACAACATGAGTCTGAACTGCATGGGTCCACTTATATACAGATTTTTTCAATAAATACTGTAAATGTATGTTTTCTTATGATTTTCTTAGTAACATTTTCTTTTCTCTAGCTTACTTTAAAAACACAGTACATAATACATGTAACATATAAAATACATGTTAACCGACTATTTTATGTTATCAGAACAGCTTCCAGTCCATAGAAGGCTATCAGCAATGAAGTTCTGGGAGAGTCAAAGATCATTCGCAGCCTTGTGACCACATGCAAGGCCAGCGCCCCAACCCCCTTTTGTTCAAGGGTCAACTGTATACTGCTTGGAAACAGCAGTATGTTTTAGTTAAACATTACATGTAGTATTTTCCCATTTTTGTTAAAATATATAAGTAAGTAGAAGCTCAAAGAAAAGTCTAGAAGGCCTTCTTCAAACCCCTAATGGTGGTTAGTTCTGGTTAAGGACATTTTGAGATTATTTGTTAATCTTCATTTGCTTAATCGGTGTTTCTTTCTTGGCTCCCTGGAAACGAATGATGCACAATGCTGCTATGATTTGGAATGCCCAAGGACCTTTTGGGTAACAGATCCCATGGCCCACCCCAGCCCACCCACCATGGAGGTGGCAGGTGACCTGAGCTGGGTCAATCAACCTGTGCCCCATTCCCGAGGCAACAAGAATTGGTCCCAAATGGACTCATGACTTAAACTAGATCAAGTAAAATACCTTCTTGAAACTTCCTAACAGGACCTACTAGCAGGGTAGATTCCTTATCCTTGTGACCATAAAGCGGTAAGGAAATGAGCACAAAGCCACGGACACCCATGATTCCAGTTTCCTGAAGAAAGCCAAGTTCCAGAGCAAGGCACACAGTGAGGATCCTGTTGGCATGGAGCCCCTGGTTCTACAAGTCTCCTACACCCTGATCCTTCACAGTGAGGTGAGGAATTATCTGTCTTTATTTGCTAGAGTCTGTTCAAATTTGCTCATGTTTTTAAAAATGAGAGGCATTTTTTAAAAGGCAATCTTTATAAATAAATTGGGCTTAAAAGCTTGAACAAGCTGCCGTGGCTGGTGTGGCTCAGTGGATTGAATTCTGGCCTGCGAGCAAAGGGTCGCCGGTTCAATTCCTAGTCAGGGCACATGCCTAGGTTGCAGGCCTGGTCCCCGGAAGGGGGCACACAAGAGGCAACCACACATTGATGTTTCTCTCCCTCTCTTCCTCCCTTCCCCTCTCTAAAAATAAATAAATAAAATATTTTTTTTAAAAAAAGCTTGAACAAGCTGTAGCAAACATTCAGTTCCATTTTCTTCTGCCTTCTTGACATCACTCATAAACTCGCGATAATGGACTTTTATAATAATAAATATACTAAAGAAATGTCCAAAAAACTTTCAGACTTCTAAGCCATTGAGACACAAGCATATCAAAGTATATTGTTAAATGCAGCATGATCAACTACTTGATCGATTCCGCAAGGAAAGAACTGTGAGTACTAAAAACACCACTGCCCCTTCTGCTGCCAGTGACTATGAGAGAATGCTGCTGTAAAACTGAGTGATGAAAAACTGAAATAAAGACAATTTCAAAAGTTAGATTATGTATTCAGTACACATTCAATCCCTTATTTTGAACATTATAAAAGAAGTGTACAAGTTTTATTAAGATCAGGTTTCTCTAGCCCTCCCATAAATGTTGAATAAATATTTAAGGAATTTAAAAATATGTGATCATAATAAAGATATGTGATTCCAACATAAACTATGCAGCTCTAGTCACAGGTAAACTTACCTGTCCAGTGCCGACTTCAAAAGACTCATAATCAACATGAACAGAAGAAACATAAGTACCAACTGGAAGTTTCCTTTTGGAATCAGTAGACTCAGAGGGGAGAGAAGCTGTTTCTTTAGGTTTCTGAGCACTTTCTTCTTGTTCTTTTGTCGAAGCTGCCATCACTGCCTTCTTTTCTGAGGCTGCTTTTTTCTGTTCCTGTGACATACCAAAATTTCATAACATAACCTTGAGGAAAAAAGTCCATTTATGAGTTATCACCACAAAACATGCTGTCTCAATATTAAGGAATGAGAAATTCCTTAGGCACAACAGTGATGTAGTAGCATTAAGGAAATGTCCCTCTTAGAGACACATACTAAATATTTATGAAAGAAATGCCATTATGTCTATAATTTACTTTAAAATTCTTAAGAAAAAAGATTATGAAGCATGAAAAATACAGCAAAATAGCTACAATTCAATCTAAATATTGATTTATCATTATACTGTAATATTTTCCCACATAAAGTTTTAATGAAAGTGTAAAAATGCCAATTTCTTCAAGATATAAACTTTAGAAAGTTTAGAAGTATTATATAATTTTAAAATACATACTTCTATAAAGATGCCTAACTTAGGAGAAATTTCTTCACTCCACATTATGTCTGCATGGAACCACTACAAGTTTTCCTCAAAAGCATTTGGGGAGGAATGAAGAAGCGCACTGCTCTATAGTCACAATAGAATAACTACTCAGAACATAAAAGTGATGAATAGCAATGATCCAACCATTTGGTGAATCACACACACACAAAAAGTTTGAGTAAAAGAAGCCAGATACAAAAGAGTACATACACAGTGTTCATTCTATTTACATAGAACAGGCAAACTTTCAATAGTGATAGAAATCAGAACAGTAGTTGTATGTGGAAGAAGCGTACTAGAAAGCAGCATGCGTGACAGAAATATTCCATTTCTTGTTTTACGTTGTGATTACAAAGGTGCGAAAATTGTCAAAACTTATTGCCACAAATACTTAAGATCAATTTATCTCCACATTTCAGTAAGTGAACAAAAGCTTCGGGAGCATTATGGAAAAGGTGTATCTAAAAAGGAGATGAAACCCATTCACACTGATTTGTCATCACACAGATACAGCAGCAGCAATGCCAGGGTAGACCTGTCCCCTCCCCACAAGCACATGTTCCAGTGGCCCTCAATCCACAGGCTGTGAATGACTGCGTAAGTCTCTGTTTAAACTGTTATTGACAGTGCCTAAACAAAACAGCTTGCCAAATCAGTCTTATCTGTCACAGAACCCCAAATACCATGTTTTGGCGTGTATAATGAGTATGTGCTCCCACACTTAATGCGCACCCAAGTTTTTGTGCACATGATGTATGGGATTATTATGCCCATTACTATACCACTGTATAATGCATATCTTTCTCTCGAAAATTTGGGCAAAAACAGTGCACACTGTACACGGCAAAATACAGAACTAGGAAATCAGGAAGAGTCCAACTGGTTAATTCAACAGGCAATACAGGAAAAAGGAAACTCTGCCAGCCACCTTGGAACTGATTCCACCCTTCATGTTTCGGAAGGCTTATCTCCGCCCTTGGAAGGTAGCACAGGATTAACCCAAAAACCCAAAATGAAGGGCGTTTCCGGGGTTCTCCAGTTTAAATTTGCTTTCTCCCTCAGAAGCGTATCCCGTTTCATTCACAGAACTTACTCTCTCAACTGCTTAAGAGAGCTGTCTAAATAGATCATAAATTGTCCTGTTGTAAACTGTTTTGTTTCCCCTAGACTCATGCAATAATTATAAAAACATACACATACTTGACTATCAATATTCCCAACATTAAAAACTATTCCTTTCCAAATGAAAATCACTAAGATAGATTACAAAGGGACAAAAAGACTCAGACTATAAATACTTGATGTCCATATTATAAAATAATTGGCTAATTTTGGTCCCATTACTTCAGTTACACTAAATCAACAGGACACACTATATTATCTAATTATTCATCTGGCAGCACCTTGTTATCTATGAAAGATGAAGAGTGATCTTCATCTTTCATGAAGAGCAACATGGCTGGGAAGACGTCATGGTTCACCCACAGGCAATTACTTCTGACTTTGAAAAAAAAGATCACTTTATAGATTTTGACCCTTTTCAAAATATTCTTACAATGCCGTAAATCATACATCCAAGCAACTATAGTGTATAAACCAGACTCCTTCCACAAATTTTCCAAGAAGTCTAAAATGCTTTTCTACTGTTTTTTCCTTCTATTACAGAATAAAGTCAAGGATATGCTGTAGGGCCCGAAAACAACTTCTGGCTTCTTGTTTTTGTTTTTACACGCTTGTGTTTTGTTGCTGTGCACATGGAGACAAATGTTAATGGAAAAACCAGAAAGGAGTCAGTATGTTTAAAAATGCATTTAATATAGAAATATTTGCTTGTGGCTAAAATTTTATAATGAATTTATAGTATGTTATTTTTAAATTTTAAAAATTCTAAAGTGAACATTAAGATTTAGACTAAACAGGTGATTTGGTGTTAAACTGTAATTAGTGATAGAATTATAAGCAGGTCAGCATTTCATGATGTTTGTTTCAAGAAGTCATGATTTTCATGGCCATAAAAACATATTTGAGAACCACACCCTTACAAGAGAAAAATCCAAACTTCCACACCTGCCATTTGGGCCTTCAGAACTCCCTGCCCGCCCCACTCTCAGCCTGCCTTCAGTTTCAGCTGCAGGCCCACACCTACAAGACCAAGTCCCTGATCCTACCCCTCCCTCAAGCTCACATACCAACGTCCTGGGGAAGTCTCCTGATACCGACCCCAGTCCCTTCTCTCCCAGCCAGACCTGCCACGCTCACCTGGCTCTGACAGCATGGACAGCTCTCTATGTGTCATCATTTGTGGTCAATCTCTCCCTCTAACTAGACACAACATCCTCAGTTCATCTCCACATCCCAAGAATTGAGCACTGTGCCTGACCCAAAAGATATATTTAAAAAAAGTGTTGACCAACTCAATCGCTTAAGTCACAACAAATCAGTCCTATGACCAAAATGACATTAGGTAAGGTGGCATATGTTAAGTTTCAAGGAAGTAACACAAATAAAAGAATCACAGAAGTTCAAAAATGGATCAACAGAGATCATGTTAATAACAATAAAAAAAACCACCCTAGGTGCCATCTAATTTTTCGAATTAAGTATTTAGAAAAATCTCTGTAAAATCAACTTAATAAATGAAAACTAAACAAGTGAGTTTTTCCCCTGTTTTAAATGCTTTTTAACTGTTGCTATTGTTGCTTTGTTTTGTATTTTTAAGAATTTTTTTGCTTTTTGGTTACCATTAATGAGATCTGTGTGTATGTTCCTATCTTTGGAAGGTGAGAAGAACTGGGAGGAGAGTAAATGAGCTAATATTTATTGGGTGTTGATCTTCATATACATTACTTCATCCTCATTCCAACCCTGTAAGTAAGGTATTATGATTCCCATTTCAGGAATGAAGGAAAGCAAGGATCAGAAAAGGTAAGCAAATTGTTTGTGAATATGCTGTTAATAAGTGGTTGAACTGGGAATCAAGGTAACCAACTCATTTATTTGTCCAGGATTTATCCAGTTTTTGCACTAGGAAATTCCGACTTTACAAATAAAAAGTCCACTGTCCAGGGAATTCTCAGTCCCAGGGAAACTGGGTGGTCAGGTTCCCTAACTGGAATGTAAATCCAGTTCTGACTGACTCCCAGGTCGGAGCTTCCATCAGCTCCGTAACTATGTCCTGGGGCCGGGGCACTTCAGCCAGCCTGGCCATGATGGTGTTAACGAAATCTTTCCAAATACAAACACAATAGTCACAGATGAGTGGGGGCCAGAGAGGAACTTTACCAGTTTGACTGCTTTATGTTTTACAAAGTTAGCAATCTTCTTTCTGGGTCCCAGGGGTATTTCCATTTCCTTCAGGTCATCGATTGTACACATAAGCTTTAAGAGAAAACAAACATGTTAATTAGTCTACTGACAGAATTGAAACTGAAAAAAGATTATAAAAAGGAACTACACATCTAAAGCAATCTAAGATCTAATCACTTTTTTTAGAAGTTAATTTTTTTGTTTTTAAATCATGGATTAATGTAGGCTGTAAAATCTTAGTCCTCCACATCCAAATCATTGTATTAATTTTTTAACAGAAAATACATGCATGTCGTACAAAATTCAAAAGCTAATCAAGCTGACACTTTGACGTCTCTCCCTTCCAATCCTGCCCCAACCACCCAACCAGGTTCTCTCACCAGCAGCTGACGGCAAGTTGCTCTCCTTCATGAGACATCTGACACGTACACAGCACCTCTGTGCCTTTCTGTGTGAGTGTGTCCTGCTATACAAACAGGACTGAACTTTTGGTCTTTTCATATGATGTGCCTATGAGGTTATTTCTCCCTGGTATCTCAGACACTGCCTCATTCATTCAACAGCTACAGGGTAGGTGAGCCATTACGTGGATGCACAATAACCTCACTAGTGCCCTAGTAGTGGACACAAAAGGCGTCATGAAGGCTTTGCTAGTATGAACAGTGCAGTATCTTCATGCATATTCTTGAGTAAATAATTCTCTACAGGAAATATTCCTGGCAGTGAATATGCTGGGGGCAAAGGGTACTTTTGATATTTTAAAAGACTTTGCTAAACTGCCCTCCAGAAAGATTTACACTCTTACCAACAATATGTAACACTGCCTACTTCCCCTCATTCTGGCCACATAGTATACAGAATGGTGCAAAAGTGGGTTTCTGGTTGTTCATATGGACTATAATCCAATAACTAATAATTAATACAAAAATAAACTCTATGTTTCATATACAACTATAAACTTACTTTTTCTCCCATGCTGTATTTTCTTTTAAAGATTTTATTTTTAGAGAGGGGGAAGAGATGGAGAAAGACATCAGTGTGGTTGCTTCTGGTGCGCCCCCACCTGGGGACCCAGCCCACAACCCAGACTTGTGCCCTGACTGGGAATAGAACTGGTGACCTTTTGGTTTGCAGGCCGGCACCCAATCCATTGAGCCACACCACCAGAGCTCTCCCATACTGTTATCATCAAACTATTTTTGCCAAACTGATAGATTAAAAAAAAAAATCTCATTTTTCTTTTAATTTGCATTTCTCATAGGTATGAGATTTCGTACACAAAGCCACGTTATTTTCTTTTCTGTATATCATCTGCTCTTATTCTTTGCCTATTTTCTTACTGTGTTGGTATCTTTGTGTAACTAAGTAGTAAAAGCTTTGAATAGTAAGGAGATAAGCCATTTGTATCCTACATGTGTTCTAAATATTCTTAATCTACCATCAGCCTTTAGATGTTGTTTACAGCATCTCCTGCTATGCAGTGTTTTTCCTTTTATGGCTTCTGGGTTTTGGGTCACACTTAGAAAAGTCTCCTCAGGTTTTTTTTTTTTTTAAGTTCTCCTGTGTTTTTCAACTTTTTAAACATTTAAGCCTCTGCCTTATCTGGAATATATTATGATGTAAGAATATAAGAGTGTTTAAATCATCCTTAATTTTTAATTTATGCACAGGAAAAACAATTTTACATAAAAATGAATCAAACTATCATCAGTACCAGAGATTCCATATCAATCTTTTCCTTTTCAAAAGTGCTAACGTATTCAGAGAGGCTAAGTGCTGCCAGAGTTTCTTGCAAAGTTAAGACTTCTTCATTTTCAACATCAAGGTCACAAGACTCATCCAAGGTCAGCTTTGGCTCCTCAGGCATCTTTAAAAAAAAAAGTTGGGGAAACATTACGAAGCTCAGAACATCTCCCAGGAAATGTCTCCCGATCTATAGAATCTCTAAAATCATTCTGCTCTATAAACAAATCATAATTTTTGGTAGTATGTCATCCAAAGTGTTATATATTCTGAAAATGCATAGAAATTTAATAAACCACTCATGCTCCCATTTCTTACAGTAACAACAAGCTATGTGGTTCCATCACATTTGTAAACCTCAGTGTACTCTGACCTATAGAAACAGTTCGGATTTTGGGAGACTGTTCAGCTCCAGCTCCAATCGAAATGTTAACTGAGCTATACCTGCTTCTCCTGAAAACGCGGCGGCTTGACAGCTCCATTAGCAACAGCAAAAGGCCTTGGAGACTCTGACAAAGCCGAATCTTTCTGATTACACAGGATGTCAAACAATATTAAAGAACCTGAAAAACAGAACATTTTGCTTTATCATGTTCTAGGTGCTCTTTATAGCACTAAATACATTCTCCTACTTTTTCTCAAAGTCCCTAGGCAGAAGTCATAAAAAAGTTAGGTGTTAATCAAGATTATCAGTAATGAGTATTCTTGTTTTACCAAACAGCAGAATCAATTAAAATATAAAACATTAGTAGGTAACATGAAAGGTGAATAGCAAAGGCAGAACCTGAACTAAAAGCATTCACTTCTACCCTTTATTAAACTTGAAATCTATTATTCTGAATCTTGCATTAACGATGTCATCCACACTGAAAACGGTGATGACTCCAGAAATATTTTAAATATGGATATTTGACAGTTTTACCTAAACTGTGACCAGCAACAGAGATCCCGCCTTTGAAGTCTGGGTTCCGACTCATAAAGAGTGCATGCAGGCGGTTCATCTCCATTCCCACTTTTTCCACAATCTTCTGACAGTAGGTGGGGCTGTTGTAAAATAGAATATCCAGCAAGGTTTCATTGGTAAAGTGACGAAACCGACCAATACTTGGCAAAGTGATTTTCTTAATATTCCTGTTCAGAAAGAAAGAAAAGTATATTGTCAGTAGCTACCTTAAACCTAGGCATTTTTTATAGTTCAGACTTTGAATCTTGAAAATACACTTGAATAAAAAAAATCCCATAAATTATGAGCTGATTTTGTAGACAGAGTTGTTATAAATAAATCAAGATATAGCAAAAAAGTTGCTATTTGTGCCTTTAACTGTACTATGAATTTGGGGATTCTCTGAAGAGTTATCATATAAAACATGGCTTATAAAAAGATTTTTATTGTTAAAGAAAAGCTACAGCTTCATTTGTCTTCCAATTTACTGGAAATCAGAATGACAAAAACTGTGAGTGGAAAGGACCACAGAGAAAGTAGTAGGAAGAAGAGCTTAAGGGAATGAAAATCTTTCCTGATTAGAGAATGGCCATAGCAAAGTTCAAGAACATCCACAGAAAAAGAAAACACCCTCATAACAGGGCCCAGTATGAATAGAACACTGTTTGCAGGAGCAGTTTTATTAAACTGTGGACATTTTTGGATATTTACCAAAAATCAGATGTTATTAGTCCAGTGTCCTAGCATAAATATTTGCCTAGACTTAAAAAAAAGCTACCTAAATCTGTGGTTCTCAATTAGAAGCACTTCAAGTTGAGTGGGGCATTTTTAGTTGTCACAGTGCCTGGTAAGTGCTATGGACATTTAGTGGCATTTACACTAGAGAGACTAAATGGCATACTGTACACATGCAACAATCTGACACGGCAAAGAATTGTCCTGCCAAAAGAGCCTCCACTGAGAAACAATAATCTAGATTAGTGGTTCTCAACCAGAAGTGGTTTTACCTCCGAGGTACACGTCGCAATGACTATAGACATTTTTGGTTGTCACACTGTGGGAAGGTGCTACTATTATCTAGTGGGAAGAGATCAGGGATGCTGCTAGATACCCTATAATGTATCGGACAGCCCCCTTGCTAAATCACTATGTATCAGTATTTTTTAAATAATATTTTGTTGATTATGCTATTACAGTTGTCCTGATTATTCTCCCTTTGCCCCCCTCCACCCAGCACCCTACTCCTCAGGCAACCCCCCACCACTGTTCATGTCTATGGGTCATGCATATAAGTTCTTTGCCTTCTCCATTTCCTACACTGCTCTTTACATCCCCATGGCTATTCTGTAACCACCTATTTGTACTTCTTAATCCACTAACTCTTCACCCATTCTCCCCCTACCCCCTCCCATCTGACAAGCATCTGGTAATTAACTTCTTTCCTCCTGTTGCTTTTAAGATTCTCTCTTTATCTTTAAACTTTGGCCTTTTAATTATGATGTGTTGGGTTGGGCCTCTTTGCATCCATCATAATTGGGACACTTTGTGCTTCCTGCACTTGCATGTCTATTTCCTTCACCAAATTAGGGAAGTTTTCTTTCACTACTTTTTCAGGTAGATTTTTAATTTAATGCTTTTTCTCTTATCCTTCTGGCACACCTATGAAGCAAATGTTGGACCACTTTAAGTTGTCCCAGAGGAGTTTATATTATCCTCATATTTTTTGGATTCTATTTTCTTCTTGTTCTGCATGATTGTTTTTTGCTTCCTTATGTTCCAAATCATTGATTTGATTCTGGGCTTCATCTACTCTACTGTTGTTTCCCTGTAAATAATGTTCTTTATTTCAATTAGTGAATCCTTTCTTTCTGACTGGATATTTTTTATGCTGTTAAGGTCCTCACTAAGTTCCTTGACCATCTTTATAAACAGTGTTTTGAACTCTGCATCTGACAGATTGCTTATCTCCATTTAGTTTAGCTCTTTTTCTGGAGTTTTGATCTGTCCTTTCACTTGGGCCATGTTCCTTTGTCTCCTCATTTTGGCAGCCTCCCTGTGTTTGTTTCTATGTATTAGGTAGAGCTGCTTTGACTCCCTGTCTTGGTAGTATGACCTAAAGTAGTAGGTGTCCTATGAGGTCCAGTGGCACAGCCTCCCCTATTACCCAAGCTGGGATGTGGGCTGAGTACACCTTCGTCTTGTAGTTGAGCCTTGGTTGCTGTTGGCAGGTCAATGGGAGGGATTTACCCAGGCCAGTCAGCTGCAAGGACTAGCTGACTACTGACCACCAGTCTCTGCCCTCCACCGAGGATCAGCTGTGTAGGGGCAGAGTGGTGCTGCTCTGATGTGGCCTGTAGCTGTCCACTGAATGCACTGGCCCTGGAGCATCCTGGGTGCAGGCCAAGGCCAGCCCCAACCTGTGTTTTGCCCAGGCCACCCTGCCTGAGCTGTAAAGCAATCTGAGATGGCTGCTACTTGTGCTGGGCTTGGAGATTCCCAGGTGAAACCAAGTTATGAATCTAACCTGGCTGCAGCTGGGGCTCACTGAAGCCAGCTCTTGCCTGTATGATAGGATTTAGGAGCTAACACCAGTCATTCTTATGGAAAAGCAGCTTGGGTGGGCCTATAAATTGGGTGGGGCAGAGTCTCTGGGGATCTCCAAAGCAGGTCAAACAGTGTTAGCCAGGTTGATGGAGTCTAAGCTCTGTGGGTGGATGGCTTAGCAAAGGGACAAAGGCCTCTGCTCACCTTGATGCCAGACACTTCAATTTCTCCCTGTACACCACTGGTGCCTTTCAAAGTGCTACACTAGCACTGAAGCTCAGAGGAGTGAGTCTGAGTAGTTGAGTCCATGTGTGGGTTAAGAGGAACTGCTTGGGGCTCCAGAAGCCTCCACCTATTCAATCCCCGGTTTTTGCAGCCAGAGGTTGTGGAGACTTATCTTCCTGGCAGTGCAACCCTGGGCTGGGGGGCCTGGTGTGGGGCTGGGACTCCTTGATCCCGAGATATCCCCGCCCCCCCAGAGTTTTTATCCACCACATGTGGGTGAGGGACAAGCCCATTGCATGTCTATGCCCCTCCTACCAGTCTGGATGGATGTGGTTTCTTTAATTCCATAGTTATCAGATTTCCATTCAGCTCAATTTCTGACATTCCTGAGTGATGATTGTTCTATATTTTAGTTGTAATTTTGATGTGATTGTGCAAAGAGACGAGCCATATCTGCCTATGCTGCCTCCTTGACCAGGAGTCTATTATAACAGGAGTATTTTAAGACCAGCTTAAATTTCCTAGATTCTCTTAAATATTTATAAAAAGAATATATGTATGCACAGAAAAGTAGCATATAAACATAACCAGTATTTAATCATATGCCAGAGCAAGTATAAACTTAAAATTAAAAAATATATTTGTTAAAAAATACATTTGTTGACATCATAATAAACTATTTCATTTATGGCTTAAATTTTTAATCTAAGTTTGAATAATCTGAAAAACAAGTTATCAAAACCCACAAACCTGTCAACACCTGTGGCATCCCCACCCAACGCACTATGCCAGTGAACTGGAAGGAACTCCACTCTGCTTATTTTCCGATCTTCTAAAGATTTCTTGAAATGTGTCTGTAGCAACTTGAGAGAAACCACCCTAAAATCATCCACTTAAAAAAAATCAAGAAAAACAACAAATAAAATTAATTAAATTTTCCTAGCGTGACAGGTAGTTAACAATTATCTCAACTACCTCAGTATTTTTATAACAAACTTTTCAAGAATAAAAACAAATAATAAACCTAATGTTGAAGAGGTTCTTTTAAACTTTTCATTATTTTAGAGACATGTCAAATGACTGAAAAACATTAGTTTAACTACCACATACAGGCAGCATGGCACTGTGGATACTCGCTCTGGAATCAAACTACCTGCTCCAGAATATACAGACCATGACATGGGAGAGGTTAACTCAGCCCTCTGGGCCTCAGTTCCTCACCTAATAATGGGGATAACAGTGATAGCACCTGCACCTCAAGACTTTATTGTGAGCGTTAAAAGATACAACATAGCCCCGGCTGGTGTGGCTCAACTGGCTGGGTATTGACCTGTAAACCAAAATGTTGTGGGTTCAATTCCCAGTCAGGGCACATTCCTGGGATGCAGTTTTGGTGCCCAATTGGGGTGCATGAGAGAAGCAACCAATTGATGTTTCTCTCCCGCTCGCTCTCCCTCCCTTTCTCACTCTCTAAAATCAATATGCATGTCCTCGGGAAAGGATAAAAATAAATACATAAAACAATATATGCAAGGCATTTGGCACATACTAAGTATTCAATAAATATGAACTATTATACAGGCTTAAAAACTTCAAAAATTTCTGTAAACCATGCAGATTCATACTTCCATTAAACAACTTCTCACCACTAATTCACTATAAGTCAGTTCAACATACAGGTGTTCCTAGTCGCTGGAAGTGGTCAAGCAGAGGCTGTAAGAAAGGCTAAATTATTTCCAAGACCGCATCTAATTCTTCACAGTCTAGATTTTTATGAGTTATACATGTCTTAAGAACAAACCAAGTAAAAATTAATATTCCCAGTGATCTAAATCTCCTCTTATAGTCCCTAAGCTGGAAGCTATTTTAAAAATGAACACTTAAGAGTGCTTCTATTAGTTCTCAAATCATTCCATGAAATAAAATGACTAACACTTACCGCATTCAATGATGCTTCTAAAGCGCAAGTCACACACAGGTCCAATGCCATGTACCATGAACACCAAGTGATCAACCTGAGGCATTTCCCCTACAAAAGAAATACACACACAAACACATATAAACTGGAAACTTGTTTGGGTTTTCTTATTTGAATAGCAATATTCCAGATATCCCTTTTGTCATAACAAACTTCCCAAAGAAATTCATGGCCCTGTCAATCTAATAAGCCTCATTACTCTCTACCAAATTAGAGCAAAATCAAAGTCTGTCTTGGCAAATAACAGTAAGCGGGACCAAGGAACAGAGGAAGCAGGCCGTCTCTGGTCCCAGGAGTTCTCAACATTGAAGATCAGCAGGTTTGTATCTATAGAGGCTCTATAGTCTTGTGATTTCTTCAGAACTCCACAGGGCACTAAACCCTGTACAGAGAAGCAATTTGCCAATGTAAAACTTTAAAACGTTTTCCCCAAATCCTTTTATTTGATTGGTTACATTCATACATACTATATATAGGAACACCTCCAAGTTAAATCTACTATTTTACTCTGGTTATTTCATTCAGATTCACAATATGAATACATTCATTTTGTAATTTCATAAGACAATGAAACAAATATAAAGCATGTAACTATCAAAATAAAATCCATATTTTAAATGCCATAATAGGAGAAACCAAAGGACAAACACTGGGGCAGGAGTTAGCAAACAATGGCCCACAGTCCAAACCCTGCTCACTGCCTGTTTATATAAATAAAGTTTTACTGAAACATGCTCATTTGTTTACATAGTCTATAGACTCATTCACACTGCAACAGCAGAGTTGAATAGATGCAACGGAACCCATATGGCCTGCAAAGCCTAAAATATTTACTATTTGGCCTTCAGAGAAAACATTTGCCATGGGAGCACTAGAATAAGAAAAGCTAATTGAGGCATGACAAAACAAGATCAAAAACACAGTCAAAAACCTAGTTTCAACCAGTAAAGTATTTCTTTATAATACATATTTTAGAATCCACATCACATGATTTGTATATCTTCACAGAATTTTAAATGTAAAAAGAGACAAAAAGTAATAAAATTTTTGAAAAGATATATGCCAACCTAGCTGATTTTTGCATGTTATGGCAGGTAATCCTATTAACTGTTTCTTCATGTCCTCCTTCTGAAAAATTGTGCTAAAATAGAGAAGTCTAGAAGCGACATTGGCCTTAAACAAATTACACGCACCGTCAGGAATTTCATCAAGGTTATCATCAATCCCACGCTTTACAACCCTGGGCCTTGTCTGTCCATCTTGTGTGGTCCCCCATTCATCCGGCACTGATGAAGGCTGGAACTGAACGATAACCTGCAAGATACAACAGAAGGATTATGACATCTCACTGCCAAATTAATTTCCACAACAGGATAAAAATGGGTTTCAATACATAATAAACTACTTTCATAGCATGATAATTTACACGTCAAGTACTACTACCATTCCCCCCCGCAAAAAATCTGTAACAGTCCTGCTAGTGTTCAATAACCATTAAAACTAAGCAAAGAAATACCATTATTTCCAATGCTAATGTTGGAAAATAATACAACTAAATCAGAAGTAATACACCTAGATTTAGGAATGTAATAAAAACATCCCAATTTACACATAAGAAATTAAGGAAAAGTAACATACAATAAGAGTCTATTGACAATTGCATTTTCATTGCCACAAACTGATTTACTCACCACTTTTTAGGAAGATGTATATTCTGTTAAATCCAACTGTATTAAATTAAACCTGATGTCGTATGAAAATATTTCTTTCAAAAAATGCATGCAAAATGTTATGCAAAATTTGTGTTTGTGCACAAAACAAAAGGTTAAAAAAATTAAAAAACAAAAGGATAAGAGTGGCTGCCTTCAAGAGGAGATACTGGGGGAATGCAGATGAGGCCGTTATTTTTCATTTCATATCTTTTTATATTGTTTAAACTTTGTTGACATATAATGTTTTTATATTTACTTATTTGTTTGTTTTAATCCTCATCTGAGAATTTTTTTTTTATTGACTTTAGAGAGAGATTTTGATGAGAGAGAGAAACATCAATAGGTTGCCTCCCGTACGCGCCCCAGCCAGGAATCAAAGCCACAAACCCACAACCTTCTGAGGTATGGGACAACACTCCAGCCAACTAAGCCACCTGGCCAGGGCTACTTCTATTTATTTTAATATCAGAAGGACTACAGAGGTGGTTAGAATATTATAGAATTACTTTCCTGTAATAAGTAAACACTCTGTGTTCTGAGCAACAGTATGCCAAGCCCTCTGCTAGATGCTTTTGCATAAATTACCTCACTTCATCTAAACTATGGCCCAGGGAGGTAAATCTTATTGCAAGTGAGGAGCCTATAGATCTGAGATTAAGAATGGTAAATGAAAACAAAAAGAAAAAGTTTCTAAAGACAATACAAATAAGAAAGAAAAACATATTTAACATTTCAAAGGTTGAAACAAACCATCATCAAGGGCAGGATGGGCAAACCAGGGCCTGCAGGCCAAACTGGCCCACTGCTGATTTTGACAAATCAAGTTTTATTACAAATAGCCATGCCCAATGACTATAGCTGCTTCCAGGATACAAGGGCAGAATTGAGAGCTGCAACAAAGGCCATATGGCGTAAAAAGCCTTAAATATCTACTCTTTTGCCCTTTATGGAAAAAGTCAGCTGATCCCTGATCAGGTGCAAAAATTTATCAAGTAACTTCTATGCTGCACACTGAGCTTCAGCTAACATGTTGCCACAAACAGAAACTTCATGAGCCAAATTTAAATTTTATTTTTGTTTCTATGGTCAATGTGAACTATCAACCTAAAAGCAATGCACTTGTTATAAATATATCCCTACTGAAGAAATTAATAAAAATAAACATTTATCAAACACAGTCAGCAAAATAATTATTTAAATGAGCCTAAAATTTTAGTATCTTAAAAAATGTCATTACCTTTGGATTGTGCATAACAATTGTCTCTCCACTTGGAAATTCTAATCTGCGGTGCCACTGATTCGAAGTTACAGCTTTTTTATATTCAGCCTACAATAATGGAAACAACATATATTCATTATTACAAATCTGTAACACGTTAAGAGAAAAAGTGGAAGAAAATTGTAACTTTCAGAGTAATAAAAATAACAGTAATAGCAGCTCTCATGTACTAATTTTTTACCATACTTATCACTTTACATATATTACCTCATTTAATTAATTACTATCAATCACTTCTAAATAATAATATCCACATTACATAGAGGCAAAAACAAAGATTAGATAGTCGGTTAGTTTTCTAGAGCTGCCATAACAAAGCACCACAAACTGGGTGGCCTAAAACAACAGAAATTTATTCTCTCAGCTCTGGCGGCCAGAAGTCTGAAATCAAGGTGTCAGCAGGGCCACGCTGCTGCTGAAACCCACAGGGACCTCCTTCCGCGCCACTCCCTAGCTCCCGGTGGTTTGCCGACAACCTTTTGTGTCCGTTGGCTTACTGGTGCATCACCCCAATCTTCTGTTTCCACACAGCAGTCTCCCTATGTCTATCTTAACATATTGTCTTCTTAAAAAAATACCAGTCATACGTGATCAGAGGCCCACCCTACTCCACTATAATCTCATCTTAAATAATTCTATGTGCAACTACGCTATTTGCAAACAAAGTCACATTCTGAGCTACTGGAGATTGGAACTTCAACATATCTTTTCTGGGGGGGACGCAATTCAACCCCTTCCAGACCTTTGAAGTTCACAGTTGCATGTGATTACACACTGGTGAGCAGCAAAGGCAGACCTGCGGCTCACTCCGGCCTGCACCTTGCTGACACCAAAGATCTTTGTGCACAGGATCAAGACCAGTTCTCTTGTAAACAAAGTTTGCTCCCTGTGAGGCTCCAATGTACACAGGGCCTAGGTTTTTTAAACAAAAGCATAAAGGATTAAAGCTCACGTACCTCTAGTTTTTCACTAAATTCCTCTGTATAGGGAATAAATCTGCTATCTGTGTCCCCTTTATAAAACCAAGTACAGCGCCTCACTTCGGCCGGCTCCTCTTCCCAGTACACAGCCTTCCGCACTCGGTCGTAGAGGTAGACGTCGTAGCGCCCTCCATCCGTGCCCAGAACCACACTCTCAGGGTCCGGCTGCACTGGAGCACAAAGTCCACATTTTAACCCAAGACTTACAAGGCATATTTAAAAGCAATAAATAATGAATACAGTGATTAACTTAGCCTTAAAGACAAAGAACTAGCTCATTTTTATTTAAAAATATTTAAGATTAATCTGTACTGATGAAAATTATGATTTTTTTAAAGATTTTATTTATTTATTTTACAGAGAGGGAAAGGTAAGAAAAAAGAAGGAGAGTAACATCCATGTGTGAGAGAAATATTGATCAGCTGCCTCTCACACATGCCTGACTGGGGACCAGGCCACCAACCCAAGCACGTGCCCTGACTGGGAGTCAAACCCGCAACCCTTCATTTTGAGGGACGACACTCAACCAACTGAGCCACGTGGGCCAGGGCATGATTCTTCTTAAGTGAAAAAACAGCCAGAGCAAAATTCTTAAAAACATGATGATAAAATAATTGCAATAACTGGTAGATTTTTTTTTTAAACCAAAGCAACAGTACTCAATGAAGTGTATTTCTAAAGAATACTAATAGGTAATTAGGTCCCATGATAAAATATCACCAGGATACACAAAGAAACATATTTCTATACTGCGGGACTTCTCAGAGCCTTAGCACACTCCTGGGCACTGTTTCAAAAGACGTAGTTACAGCATTTCCAAAACTCATCTGAGCATGAATAATTTTTCCCCCAGTATCTTAAAAAATAAGACTTCCACAGAAAATGCTTTATAAATACCCTATAGCTACAAATGAATAAAGGAAATAAGGAAATCGACACCCAAAAAGAAAACTGACACCTAGATTATATGAACTGCTCTATTTCTCTGATTTAAAAAGATTTTATTAAAACCCTTCTTCAAATAACTTGTTCAGATAACTCAGGACTTATATTAACATCACCATCTTAAAGTACAGAGTCTGGTGGGATCTATAAGGATTAAGGAATATGACATTCACAAAAAGTAAGCCATGGCTAATTACCCTTCATTTCTCCTCTCCCTAAAATCAGATACATTGATAAATGATGCATGACCAGTGCTTACTTACCTGAGTTATAGACTTCTTCAAGATTCAAGGAGTCAAACACACTGAAAGGCATCCACAACTGCTTGTATTCTACCTCCTTGCAGTAAAACCAGTGAGGCTGAACAGGTTCGTATTGGTTTTGAAGTATAAAAGGCGGTGGCACTTGCACAGAGGGGCCCACAGGTCTAGCAAGTGCCTGCTCCTGTGTTGGAGAGGACAACCCTGTCTGCACTGAAGGAGGCATCTGGAGGGGACAAAAAGTTCAGACCATCAAGCTTGTTCCAAGGAACACTTTTCTATATGCTTCAGACCCATTATCAAGAATCTGGGTATCACTCCGATTTAAATTAAATAAAATGAAACCCATTCTCTATCTCCAAGAGTAAAGTTAGGTCACACTCTTATTAAACCACTGCTATCTCTGCCACTCTGGGTTGGGTTCTTCTTTCAGTTGTTTCCCCTTTTTTGATTCAGTTGATTTCCCTTTGGAAGTCAGCTGGATATCAGTTGGGAAAAAAGTGTAAGGGAATTTCACAAAATTTACCCAATGCAAATGTTATTCCATTACTCTCCTGAGACAGAGTTTAACTAGATCTAGTGTGTCTGCAGTTCGTGCTGAAGGCCTGCTTCCTAGGCTACACCCGAAGGACCTAGATCTAGTTTGTCTAGATCCAAACTCCATAAATGTAAATAAAAGAAATTACTAGAGTAATCAATTTTAGTCCCTGTAATTGAGCATCTTGATTGAATAGCATAATTAAAAAATGAGAAGCTGGCAGTCTTTTAAGATAATAATTGCTTTGACTCTCACTGGTCCTTAGATCCCATTTATTATTGGTATCTGGCACTAAAATCTGGAAATATTGGCACAGATTAACTCATTAAAATCAATTACTGCTTCAATACAGATAACACAAGCTAAAATATAAACTATTCAATAAGCTACCTTTAAAACATTTTTGTTTTAAGTAAGTTTTTAAATATAGATACAAAATCTATACCTACTATTTTTACATGTTCTTTTGAATGCTCTTTTCTCCTGGTAAGAAATCAAAGCATACAGCTTACAAAGAACATCCTCCGAAAATAATCTGTCATCATATTGATTATAAAAAGCACTGAAAGATTAAAAATTAAAGTGAATAACTAGTACATAAAACACGTCCCCGTACCGGTGGCAAAGATCCTGGAGGCATCTGGTACGTGTGGACAGGGGGTCCGGAGGGTGGAGGGTGGGCGGGGCGGCCTGGCGTTTGGCACTGCTGTAGCTGTGGTGGTGTGATGTAAGGGTTGGCTCTGCTGCTCACGGGAGTATGGCGATAGGGGTTGTACCCTTGTTGGGGCATTCCTTGGGGTGGGCTCCCAAAATCTGAAGGCGGGAGAGTGCTTGGCTGAGAAGGCAAATAAGTATTTGTTCCCATCTGTGAAGAAGGCGGAGCACCATATTGAGCCTTTGAACTAGAAGGTGGAAACGCATCTTGGGATCCAGTTGTAAAAGGGAGGGGAGCTGGGGGCTTGGAGAATGCTGACTGTCCAGCTGATGTGACTGCAGTTGTCAACGGCGACTGTCCAATATTCCCAAATGGATCACTATTGCTTGATACCTGAGAGAAGTAACTAAATGTCTGTGGGGTAGACGTGTGAACAGAAGTCTGGCCAAGGAAGCTGTCCTCCTCACCAACATCTGTGGAATCCTCTGAAAAGGAGAGAAGAGTAAATGGTTTCAAAAGTATGATATCATTCTGTAGATCTAGCTCTTGTAATTCTTTTTCTTTTTTGAAGATTTTATTTATTTATTTTTAAAAGAGGGGATCGGAGGGAGAAAGAAAGGGAGAGAAACATCTATGTGTGGTTGCCTCTTGCACACCCCCAACGGGGGACCTGGCCCACAACCCGGACAGGTGCCCTGACTAGGAATCCAACTGGCGACCCTTTTGTTCGCAGGCTTGTACTCAATCCACTGAGCCACACCAGCCAGGGCTGGCTCTTGTAATTCTTATTTTGTTGTTCAAACTTTCATTTCTGCATTATAGGAAAGAAATGAAAACTTTTTATTTCTTTCTTTGAAAACCTCCTTTTCAAATGAGAAACTAAAAAATGTGAATAAAAAACAACAAAAAGGTTCTGACCAGAGAGCTCAGTTGGTTAGGCTGTTATCCCCATACATCAACATTGCGGGTCCAATCCCCAGTCTGGGCACATACAAGAATCAACCAATGAATACATAAATAAGTGGAACAACAAATCAATGCTTCTCTCTGTCTCTCTCTGTCTCTCTGTCTCCCTTCTCTCTCTAAAAACCAATAAATTAAAAAAAGAAAAATTTAAGATTTATTTATTTTTAGAGAGAGGGGAAGGGAAGGAGAAAGAAGGGGAGAGAAACATCAATGTGTGGTTGCCTCTTGTGCACCCCCTACTGGGGATCTGGCCCACAACCCAGGCATGTGCTCTGACTGGGAATTGAACCAGCAACCCTTTGGTTTGCAGGCCAGCACTCAATCCACTGAGCCGCACCAGCCAGAATTTATAAAAATTTTTTATAAATAAAAAAATTTGTAAAATAAAAGAAATAGCCCTGGATGGTGTCCTTGAGTGGACTGAGTGCCAGCCTGTGAACTGAAAGGTCACAGGTTCCATTCCCAGTTGTGGCACATGCCCAGGTTGCGGGTCAGGTCCCCAGTTGGGGGTATGCAAGAGGCAACCATTGATGTACCTCTAGCACATTGATGATTCTCTCCCTCTCTTTCTCCCTCCCTCCCCATCTCTCTAAAAATAAATTAATAAAATCTTTTTAAAAAAATTTTAAAAACAAACATAAAAAAGGAATAAAAAATCATAATTCACTCATAAGTCCACCTTCCAGACACAATCACCATTAACAATATTTTGGTCCATACCTTCCCATACTTTTTAAATAAATATAAGTAATTATGTGTTTGGGTTGGGTTTTGTTGTGTTTTTTTTTTTTTTGGTAAATATACAGAAACTATATATTTGCATATAGAAGTTTTTAAAAATAGAAACAAAACCTATACCCACTATTTTTACACGTTCTTTTGAATGTTCTTGTTTCCTGGTAAGCAATCAAATAGTATTCTGCTACCCAACACACATTATTTTATTTCTACAGTAATGACAAGAAACTAAAGTACAGATATTAACTCTGTTGACGAGAAGGGGTATGTCAGGGCTCTTATCTGCAAAGCACAGATTGTACAGATGAACATGTGATATTTGTATTCACAAGGCAAAGTAGGTCACTCATGAACTGCCATCCCTAAAATCACAGAGTATCACAACGAGATAATCTGTCATCAGAGAATGCCAAATCGTCAGGAAAGTCCGTTTCTAACCAAGGGAAGTTCCCTTCCTCCCCTCTGCCCAACTTAATCTTCACTGTGGGTATCACAGCACCAACTATTTAACTTCTATTCTGCTACCAAGTTGTAAAATCAAAGCATTTTTCCTCTACATGGCCTCAAAAGTCCAGCCTACTCTTCCTTACTAAACTTCCATTGTCCTCTTCCTAATCTCTTCCCTCTCCTGTTTCATTCCCTCCTATCTCCTACTCCTGAAGGGAGGGAGCATGTCAGAGGGGTGGACTCACTCCCGGTACACAGGCACACTGAGGTCCCTGCCTTTGACACCTGACAAAGGGAGCCTTCTTTCAAGCTGCAGGCTCCGTCCTGACCTGCTGCAGGAGGTCACTGGGCTTGCAGAGATTCTGGTTTGAGCTTCTAGGTTGCTCCCACTACATTTCGTCAATTTAACAAAAATAATACACTATTCGAAACACTCTTCTAGGCTGTTTCTTTGTAACTAAAAATAAAATATCATCTCTTGCACAAGGACTTTTGTCTGCTTGTATCTTTCTACTTTTCTTATGTATTTCCAGTTCCCACCCTCTCTTCAATCATGTAAACCTCCTGTATCTCATCTCTCAGTAACTACAAGTATCACCCTCACTGGTGTGGTTCAGTGGATTGAGTGTTGGCCTGAGAACCAAAGGGTTGTCGGTTCGATCCCCAGTGAGGGCATATCCTTGGGTTGCAGGCCAGGTTCCCCAGTGAGGGGTGTGCAAGAGGCAGCCACACATTGATGTTTTTCTCTCTTTCTCCCTCCCTTACTGTCTAAAAATAAATAAATAAAACTTTTAAAAAAAGAAAAATAACTACAAGCATGGGAAGAAAGAAAAAACAACTCTTCCATCCTTTAGGACAACTTAGGGATCAACCTCATTCAAGAAGCTTTTTTCCTGATTAGCGTCAATTACAAATGAAACACTCGTCTCACCATGATGCCAGCCTCACCTCAGGATCACTTTCTAATTACATGTGGACATGCTTAACATAAAGACCCACAGCTTTAATGGGCACCTACCTGTATACTTGTGACGCTCCCAACTCTGTCTCAAACGAGACTTTTCTCCTTAGTTCCAGAATCTACTGTCCCCCTGCTTCCTGAACACTTTCAGCAGGCTCGGCCACTTATACCTCAAGCTTAGTATGCTTAAAATGGAATTTATCATCATCACCGTCCCCTTCCACGTGCTCCTTTACCACACCTCTCTATCACAACATCCATCCATCCGCTCGAACCAGAAGACTCATCTCTCAGACTCCTCCCTCTCTCTCATACCCCCCATTTAATCATTCAGGTCCTCATTCCAGAAATATATACAAAGCATCCATTATGTGCCAGGCGCTAGAGCTAGGTCTTGAGGCTGAAGCTGAACTAGGAGAAGTTGCTATGGTAGACAGGCAGGCCACCAAGGAGTCACTAAGTCCCAGCAGTTTTACATCCTGAAAATCTCTCACATCCATTCCCTGCCCTCCATACCCAATGCGGCTAAACAGGGCTAGAGTGCCATCCACTCCTGCCTGATTCACCATGGCCTCCAGGCTGACCGCTCCTGTACCGTCAGCTCTCCTCCAGTGCTCTGTCAGAAAACTCCAGTCTTTCCAAAACACACCACTAATTTTGCTGCCTTATTTATCAAGGATGACTACAAACTCCTCACTGTGTTATAGGCCCTTCATGATCTGGTCCCCATTGGCCAATCAAGCCGCTCCCCTGCACACACTCTAGTCATACTGGTCTACTGGGGGAGGGAAGAAAGGACCGGGAGAGAGGGGGTCGCGGGAGGAGAGACAATGTGAGCCCCTACCACCAAATCCCACCAGGTCTGCAGATTTTCTTACACCTCAGACTTTTACATATGCCTGCCTCTGCAGACTCCCTAACTTCTGGTATCCTTCTACACTGAGCTCAAGAAATCACCTCCTCTGTGAGGCCATGAGGCCCTGAGGCCCAAGGAATGTCTTCTCCCAGGTCAGCAGGACTGATCTCTATAGCTTTCACAGCAGGCTAGTCATCCCCCTCTCTAGCCATTAAAAACCTGCATAAGTGTGTACACATATAATCAATGTTCAATCATTGGGGACAATGCTATCTGCTCTGGAACTCCCAGACATACGGAACAGGGCCTGGCAAACAGAGGCCACTCGATCCATGTTTGCTGCATGAATAAAATTGCTTCCTATGTACGAGGTCTCTCCCCAAGATAACTAACTGTTGCTTCCTTTGTCTCTGGAAATTTTCTGAATGGTTTCTAATGATCAAATCTTTTTTTAGAGATGGAAAAATAACTGTACAGAATTTCAGTTCTAAAAAAAATATTAATTTTCTCATTACAAAATATGTCCAAGAAACCAGAGTTTTCAAAATAGGTATAGTTATCCTGTACCAGACAATGAAAATGTTTAGCATTAATTGATAGTGACATACACAAACCGAATACTGTACAGCAAGGAAGATGGGCAGGAAGCAAGCGTTTGTGAAGCAGGGGGTGACACGAAAGCCCCATGTATGGCCTTATTTATCCCGGAAACCTCCCACAGCACCCTGCTCCACCCACGCTAGCCCTTCGCCAAAATGGCAACGCCTAACCCTTCGGCCATGCTGTCAAAATGGGACGTGCATATCCCAGACTCCCATCCTTTCATTCATTCAGCAACTATCTATTGAAAAACTGGCCTACAGCATACCAGGCACTGTCCTAGGTATAAATTCCTGCTCTTGTGGAACTTCGATTCTAGAAGGATAAGATAAATATGTGTGCACGTCAGGCGATGACAAGCACCAAGAAGAAAAATAACACAAGGGAAAGGGAACCTGCATGTACAACTGCTTCCAGTTTGCCCTTCACTTCTCCAAAGAAGCTTTTCTTAGTCCTCCAAGCAAGGATAAATTATCCAATGGGAAAACAGTCCACATTCACTGAGGATCTTATGTGCTAGGCACTAAATATCCTAGAAACAAAAAGGTACATAAGTCAAAGCTGCAAACTTCAAGAAGCCCACAGTCCAAATAGACATGGGTGTTTATTTTGCAAACATCTATATAACACTACGTGCCAGGCACTATACTCAGCACTTTACAAAAAGTAACTCACTTCTTCATTACAGCCCTCTCAGGCTGTACATAATGGAAACTGAGCAGAGAGAGGTAAAGCGACATGCCTGAGGTCGCACGGGAAGTTACTGGCAGGGCCAGGGCTGGAGCATAGCGTGCGCCCCTCAACACCACTCTCTGGGTTATGCCACACAGTCGGTAAAGAGCAATCCCGCTCCAATAATAAAAATATGAACAAGGAGTTAAGGTGCACATAGGGGTGGGACCTAAGAGAACAAGAAATAGCCTTACAGGAAGTGATGCGCCGTCTTGAAAGACGAGGTCTGCATTCCGTGCCTCTACTTGGCAAATAGTACACGCTTACCCTAGGAGATATCCATCCGACTGTACCCTAGAAGAGGGAGCAGTGTCTACTTTATTCGCATTCCCTGAAAGTACCTGGCACACCAGGAAGTGTCCAATAAAAATTCATGGAACGCCAGAGCAGTGGTGTCCAGCACTCGGAACCGGGGTCCTTGAACGAAGAGCAAAGCAAGCCTTGCGACCTAACCCCACCCCCAAGGTCCTAAAGCACCCAGACCACGCAAAGTTGACCACTGATGGCCCTGGCAACTACCCAGAGGGTCGGGTCGAGGCAGAAGGAAAACCTGCAGTCCTGACTGTCGTCACCCCAACAGCCGCCCCTCACCCGCCTCCCCGCACTCACCAACCACTCCCCCCCGCCACCCCCATCTCCTCCGTACCTCCAGGCAGGAGCAGGGAGGCCGAGGCGGCGGCGGCTTGGGTGACTGGGATGAAGGGCACATTGAAGCTGAACTCCGTGGCCGAGGATGAGAAGAGTAAATTAGTGCCCGACAAGGAGGTGGAGGCGGCGCCCCCACCGTTAGGTTTCCTCTCAGCCATGGCTGTGGCCCACCACCCGTTACACGTCTCCGGGAAGCCGGTGAGACACCACCAGCCGGAAACCAGTCACACTCGGGGCCAACACAGTTCCGCAGTTGCGCACAAGGGCCGGAACTCCAGTTGGTCCGAGGCCCTCTTCCGGCCCCAAGCAGAAGCGCCGTGACTTAACATGGCGGCGCCGGCCTCACGCCCTAGTCGTAGCACGTGACACCCTCGGTCGTGGTGGGGTGAGGCTGCAGGCGGAGGAGGAGGCTGGGGGCAGAAACATGGGAGAGGAAGCGCTGCGGGTTCTGAATCAAGGCGCAAGTTACCTCGGAAAGTCACGAATTGCAGGGGGCGCTCTGGGCTTTTTAAAAAGCACCGACAAGCGTGTGTAACTGGCAAATATTTTGGACGAACAGAGGAAGCCTGCAGGAGCAGGTAGCAGGGTGCGGTCCCCAGGCGGAGAAGAGGTGTGGGGGCCAATTGTATAGCCAAGGCCTTGCCAAACTCACGCATTCAAGCACCCACAGCTAACCCGCCTACGTGTTTTTTCTGGACTGGACTGAACTCGTCTTTGGCTCAGAAATAGAGATAGTAAAGTTTTTTATGTTTATAAGCCCTAAGGGGGGAAAAACTGTTTAAAAGAGAAATCAGATAATTGAAATTTAGGGTTGTGACTTTTAAATAGCTTTCTGTGTCTACAATAATCTGACTAGTTCATCCCCAAAATGCACTGTGGATAATATGGATCTAATTGTCATTTTTTTCATAGGAAATTATGAAAGAAAAACATAAGACAAGCAGCTTCTCAGAGTGGAAGAAGGACATGGACGAGACCTCCAAAGAAGCTTTGAAATTATGACACCTCCCCCAAGCTGCTCACACCTATATAAGAAACTGTTTATTGCTTAATTCAATAACTATTTAGTGTGTTTACTGTCAAACGTAAAAGCAACACCAGGCACTAGTAAAAGCACTAAGGATAGATTTTATTCCAATACTAACTATTGAAATAGGGAAAAGGGAACATTGTGAACTGAACTTCCCCAAAACAAACGGCTGGAGATTTTTTAAAGACTGTTAAAGCATATTGGTCCATGGACTAGGCCACTGAATTTGTGAATTGGCACTTAACTGGGGGAGCAACTAAGTTCTTTTACCTTTATGACAGGCAGTGATACAAGTTAGAGCAAGGTACACACCTAGCTGGGAGGAGACAACTCTCCAGTCCTTAAGATAGTTGCGGATGACAGAATATTTGTATCTCAAAGGGGAGGAGAAAGGATTCATAACTGCAAGCTTTCTTAAGTAACTGCTTTAAGAAAGGGTTCAGGGGACTATATGTCTATCGCCAGGTTTTGGCTGGAACAAGCAGTAAATTCTTTTTGCAGTGTTGACCTTTCCCAGGCAGGCATTTTAAAGAGGACAGGGGTCATTCTAGGCACATGGCCTTAAGCTGCTGGGAGCTATGCTAGAGATTGTCCAAGGAGAGAGTCCTTGTCACTACCATGCACGGATAAGGCAGTATACTGAACAGTGGGGGTACACTGTGTTTACACAGCATGTAAACACGGGACCCTTCCTTCTTGGTTATTGTCTGTCAGAAAGACAGGCACTTAAACCCACAATAACAATAAATTAAAATGTGATTAAAGTTATAGTGTAGAATCTCGCTTCAAGAGAGGGAGGTACAATCCTTCTATGGGGAGAAATAACAAATACTTCAATCAGACTGTCAACAAAGGGCCTACCTAGTCTACAGTGACATAAAAGGCTTCTCTGAAGAAGCAAAATCAAAGTTGATACCTAAAAGACAATTAGTAGAAATTACCTGGAAATGGTTGGGGAGGAAGGCTTGGCGGAAGTGGTAATAGACAGTACTTAGAGATACTCTGAGATGCGAATTTGGGTGTTGAGAGAAACAGAGGTTAGAGAATGACTGGAGCCCAGTGAGCCAGTGGGAGAAAGCTGGGAGCTGAGATGCAAAGAGGCTCTCTCATGGGCGGTCAGACAGGCATGAGCAGAGCAGGAGCACTAGGCCAGATACAGAAGGTCACCAGTGCGAAGAGCCCTGCGTGCCTAACAACAGACAAGTATAGAGTGGGACCTTGCCCCCAGGGTGACCTTTGCTCCCCTAGCATATCGCTGGTGATGCCGTTTGGACCCTCCTCTGACTGTTCCTCCCTTGGCATGTTGCTAGTCATGTGGTAGACCCCTTACAGGAGGAACAAAGGGGCCAGAGAATAGCCTCACAGACTCCCCATACAAGCCCTTGCACAACCACTCCCTTCAACTTTAAACCCTCAAGACAATAAGGTTCTGACCCACAAATAATCTTAGAAACAAAGTCTCCGGTCTGTTGACCACAGAGACAGAGTTTTTGTTTTGTTTACTTTTTTAAATTATATTTTATTGATTATGTTATTACAGTTGTCCTGATTTTTCTCCCTTTGTCCCCCTCGAGCCAGCACCCCACAGTCCATCAGGCAATGCCCCCCATTGTTCATGTCCACAGTTGTGCATTTAAGTTCTTTGGCTACTCCCTTTCCTATACTGTACTTTACATCTCCCTTTCCCATTCTGTACTTTACAGAAAAAAGGTAGTTTATTCTGTAACTACCTGTTTGTACTTCTTAATCCCCTCACCTCTTCATCCATTCTCCAACACCCCTCTCCCATCTCCTTATCTTTAACCCTTGGCTTTTTAATTATGAAGTATCTTGGGATAGGTCTCTTTGCATCCATAATTGGGACACTCTGTGCTTCCTGGACTTTCATGTCTATTTCCTTCACCAAATTAGGGAAATTTTCTTTATTTTTTCAAATAGATTTCCAATTTCTTGCTGTTCTCCTTCTGGCACCTCTATGATGCAAATGTTGGATTGCCTAAAGTTGTCCCCCAAGCTGCTCACACTGTCCTTGTTTTTTTGGACCCTCTTTTCTTCTTGTTGTTCTGGTTGTTTTTGCTTCCTTATGTTTCAAATCATTGATTTGATTCTCGGCTTCATCCACTGTATTGTTGTTCCCCTGTAAATTGTTCTTTATTTCAATTAGTGTATCCTTCATTTCTCACTGGATCTTTTTTATGCTGTTAAGGTCTTCATTAAGTTCCTTGACCATCCTTATAAGCAGTGTTTTGAACGCTGCATCTGATAGATTGCTTATCTCCATTTTGTTTGGTTCTTTTTCTGGAGTTTTGATCTGTTCTTGCATTTGGGCCATGTTTGTCTCCTTGTTTTGGCAGCCTCCGTGTGTTTGTTTCTGTATATTAGATAGAGTTTCTTTGACTCCATGTCTCAGTACTGTAGCCTAATATAGTAGGTGTCTTGTACGGTCCAGTGCACAGCCTCCCTATCACCCAAGCTGGGTACTTGAGGTACGCCCTTTGTGGGTGCTGAGTACACCCTCGTCTTGTAGTTGAGCCTTGGTTGCTACTGGCAGATCAATGGGAGGGATTTACCCAGGCCAGTCAGCTGCAAGGACTGGCTATGACCAATTACCACCAACCTCCACCCTCTGTGGAGAATCAGCTGTCCAGGGGCAGGGTGGTGGTGCTCCAACATGGTCTGTAGTTGTCCACTGGGTGTGCTGGCCCCTGGAATAGCTGGTGGTACATGCCAAGATCAGCCCCCACCTGCGTTTTGCCAGGGGCCACCCTGCCTGAATTATAAAGAAATCTGAGGTGGCTGCTATTTGTGCTGGGCTTGAAGATTTCCAGGGGAAGCCAAGCTGTGAATCTAGGCTGCCAGTTCCTGGCCAGGACCTGGGCCCCACTAAAGCCAGCTGCTGCTTGTTTAAGAGGATTTAGGACGTGTTGAAGCCTAAGCTAAGACCAGCCATTCATATGGAAAAGCAGCTTGGGTGGGCCCATAAGTTGGGTGGGACAGAGTCTCTGGGGATCTCCAAGGCAGGTCAGCGTTAACCAGGTTGATGGAGTCTCAGATAGGGTACCAGCTACTGGCTCTGTAGGAGGAGGGCCCAGAAAAGGGACAATAACCTCTGTTTGTCTTGATGCCAAACACCTCAGCCTCCCCCTGCACGCCACTGGTGCCCCTCAAGCCACCACCCCAGCACCAGAGCTGAGAGGGAGTGAGTCTGAGTAGGTGAATCAATGTGTGGGTTCTTTAAGAGGAACTGCTTGGGGATCCAGCAGTTTCTTCCACCAACTCAATCCCCTCTGGCTTTTGCAGCCAGAGATAGTGAGAACTTACCTTCCTGGCCCTGGAACACTGGGCTGTGGGGCCTGGTGTGAGGCTAGGACTCCTTGCCCCTGAGATGTTCCTCCTGAATTTTTATCCACCACACGCATGTAAAAGCCAATTCCACATCTGCACCCTTCCTACCAGTCTGGATGGATGTGGTTTCTTTAACTCCATAGTTGTCAGGCTTCCATTCAACTTGATTTCTATCGGTTCTGAGCAATGGTTGTTCTAATTTTAGTTGTAATTTTGTTGTAGTTTTATGAAGAGGTGAGCCATGTCTGCCTATGCTGCCATCTTGACCAGAAGTCCACAGCAGATTTTGGTCAAACTAGAGTTAACATCTACACCTCAGCTGTGTTTCAGCTCCAGGTCCAGGAAAGCAGTAAGGCCAGGCAAGGTGATGCCATGGCTGACATCAGGGCCAGGGATGATGATTAACGACCCACTGCCCTGCAGCCAACCAATCCGTAGAGACCATGACCCTGAAAGGACACACCTGGAAACTTGATGAATGTTCCATTGAGATTTTCCTCTAGGACCTCCCCTAAGATCCCCAACTTTAGAGAGTATAAAAACCCTCAGGACTGAGGATCCAGCATGTGTGCATGCTCTCTTCTTCCTTTCTCATTCCTTCCCTCTCTCCCTCTCTTTCCCTGCTTCTGTTTCTCACACCCAAGCATTTCCTCCTCTTCTTCCCCCAGGCACCTATATCCTTGCTTTCTTTCTCCTAAGTTCCAAGGGCCCCTTCCTTTGCTTCTATAACTCATTTCCTGAGCCCACACAGTACAGCTGGTTCACTTTTTGTACCTCTGTGACTTTCTAAATAAACTTTTGCTTGTATTTGAGTCTTGATTATGAACTCTTTCTTAGCCAGAACTCAAGTACCAAGGCTGTTGA